CGTCTGCCAAAGAATCTGTATTGCATCAGCTTGACGTTATTCAAACTGCTGCATTAAGAGTAGCTGCAGGAGCATTCCGGACCAGCCCAACAGAAAGTATGAGTACAGAAACTGGAGACGCACCACTTAAATATAATAGGATGCATTTAACTCTCACATACGCATTTGCCGCTAATTCTAATCCAAACAATCCGACTAAATACAATATATTCACTGATCGTTTTAAAAAACTTATATACTGAAAATAGGAATGTGAAACTACCATTCTACGAAAGAGTTAAGCAAACTCTTATGACTTTACAAATTCCGATACAAAATACATAAGTATTCCAACTTCATAGGAATTCCTCCTTCTTGGACAATAAGCATTCCTCAATCCGACACATCCTTAAATATCTTTAGAAAGAACGATACTCGCTACGCCTTAATAAACAATACCTTCATCAAAAAACTTACCACATTTTTTAACTTCTACCACATATACACAGATACCTCTAAAACATTTACTGGAGTTGGGGTAGCTGTCGTTACTTCAAATATTACACTTGAATATAAACTATCATCCTTAAGCTGCATATTTACTGGCGAGATATATGCCATCTACCAAGCTCTCACTCATGTTAACTCCGGTAATATATATTCAAAGCTCTTATAATTACCGATTCCCTCAGTTCCATCAATACCATTAACCAGCTTTATACACAACACATCCAATTGCTGTCCTAATTAAAAAAGAACTAGCTACCATACAAAACACAAACATACTGTACAATTTCTATGGGTCCTTTCATACATTGGACTTCAAGGGAACGAAGAAGCGGACCGCATTGCCCAACAGCAGGAAACAGTGAAACCGCGAGTGAAGTGAGAAATCTAGTGCTAAACGACTTAAAATCATTTATTAAAGTGAAGGTTGAAAATTTGTGACAAACCAATAGGACAGTTTAACTTCAAAACTTGAAAAGTGAAAACATATAAAACCGTGGAAATATCAAATTTCCAACAGGGCTCCTCAAGTCGTTCTTACTCGACTTCGTCTAGGACATATCCGACTTATTCACGGGCATATAGTCGGCCACACTAATCCTACTTTATGAGACAAATGCAATGTTCCATTCCATGTTAAGCACGACTTGTAGAGTGTCCAAGATATCAATTGCAAAGATCAACCATATCATCGGATCAACAAGTGAAATCTTATGTTGAAAATGTAAAATTGAACAAAATTCCTTCAAGACATTAATCATCAATCAGCCAATCGCGTCCACTGCTGTACATAGGCCTCCCTCAGTTCTTTCCAGTGTTCTCTACACTGGGCCGCTTGTAGCCAGTTTCCCGCTACACGTTTTATATCATCGGTCCATCTAGTCGGTGGTCGTCCTCGGCTTCTTTTATAGTTTCTGGGCCTCCATTCCACAATACGTCTTGTCCACCGTCCATCTTGTGCTCTGGCTAAGTGCCCTGCCCAGTTCCACTTAAGCGACGTGGTTCTTTCGATGACGTCTTGAACTCCTGATCTTTGCCTAATTTGTTGGTTTGTTATGTGGTCTCGAAGGCTCACGTTCAGCATTGCACGTTCCATGGCTCGTTGTGTAACTCTGAGTTTATTCGCAGATTTTTGCGTGAGTGTTAAAGTCTCCGCTCCATAAGTTTGTACAGGTAAAACACATTGGTTATAAACCTTTCGCTTGAGACACATGGGAATTGAACTTTTTAGAATATGGCTTAATTTGCCAAATGCTGCCCAAGTTAGGCCCATTCGCCTCTGTATTTCATGTGTTTGATTGTCTCTGCTTATTTTGATTTCGTGTCCCATATATTTGTAAGTGTCTGTTTGTTGTATGGTATTATTGTCAATAGTTATATTTCCAGTCATTACGAGATTTGTTAGTTTAGTTTTCTCAAAGTTTATCTTTAATCCTACTCTTTCAGACAGACTTTTAAGCGAATGCATCACAGAAACTGTATCTTGTAAATTATCTGCGATTAATACAACATCATCTGCAAATCTTAGGTGATTTAATCTTTCTCCATCTATATTGATGCCCATATCTTGCCATTGAGTGCTCTTAAATATTGACTCTTAAAAAAATATCAATATATATTAAAAAGACATTAATATACATAACAAAATTTGATATTTATCAGTCAATTATCTCATGTATATTTTTATATCTCTCTAATAACCTCAGAGGTTGATGCGACAATGTTTTTAAATAAAAAAAAAACAGATGAAGGCATCAAGAAAAAACACAAATCACCACCAATATTTGTCACTGGAGTAGAAAAAATAAATCCTCTCATGACACGGTTAGATGAAGAAATTTCAGGTAAATACAGTATTAAAGTCAGTACCGAGGAGGTAAAATACAATTTGAAGATGGACAAACTTACTCTAAAATCATAAAAGCCCTAAATTAGAAAAAGGCGCAATATCATACATATAAAAATAAATAAATGAAAACATTTAGAGTAACACTAAAGAACATCCATCCATCAACAAACATCTGTAATATAAAACAAAGATCCACTAAAAACCATTACATTTATATACAGTTGTTCTTTATATATCTAAAACAAAATGAAAATAACACACAACGAAACATTTAATGCACTCAAATGTAGTTTTTGGAGCACCAAACTCCAACAGAGAGATACCACAGTGAGTCCTCTATTCTTCAACCTGATAATGGATAAAATAATAAAAAAAGTAAGAACTAAAAAAGAATACCAAATGGGAGAAACACAACTTAAAATAATCTGCTATGCAGACGACGCAATACTACTCTCTCAAAGCGAAGAAGATTTACAACATATGCTATAATTTCCATAATAAAATGTTAATTTCCAAAAAAAAAAGACAAAATGCATGGTTATAACAGCAAATTATTTAAGATGTAAATTGTAGCTGGAAGGTGAGATAATAGAACGAGTGATAGAGTTTAAATATCTAGGCAACCCATTAAGTAGCTACAGAAAGCTCGAAGAGAAGAGGAAGATCAAGTGAATAGAGCAAACAGAGCCATAGCGCAAGTTTTCTGAATGAAACAATATGGAGAAATAAACATATTAAGAAAGAAATGAAAGTCAGAATTTACAAAACATTTATCAGATCAATAATGACATATGAGGGAGAAACACGACCTGACACAGAGAGGACAAAAGGGATGTTAGAAACAGCAGAGATGAAAACACTTAGAAAAATTGATGGTAAAACACTATGGTACAGAGCAAAAAGTACAGATATACGTCGTAGATGCAAGGTGAAAAACATCAATGGCCGGGTGAGAAATACGAGGAGTAGAATGGAAAGATCATATAAGCCGAATGACAACACATAGGGTAGTAAAGACGGCAAGAGACGGTTCCCCAATATGCAGACTTTCAACAGGAGGACCACGAAAACGATGGCACCACAACTTACTGGAGGCACATTGAAAAACAAATGGTCATGTCTATATAAAAAGAAGAAGAAGAATTATCATTTTTCATCACTTTGAAATGCACTTTGGAAAATTCAGTTTCCTGTTCAATTATACAATTTTCATTTTCACATCATCACTAGTTCACAAAATTTTCTGAGGCTCTTACGAATCGAATGTAATAAGTTTCATTAAGATCCATCCAACTGCAAAAAATTGGTAGATTTATTGCTTCATTGCTTCTCCTAAAACCCATTTCTATTGTAATCGGTGAGGAAGGTAAATAAAGAAAATTGCAATATAGATTGGATCGAATTGCAATATAAAGCCCGCCACTCACGCTCCAACGGCGCAGTACGATTTTGTCGAATGCAATTGCAGTACAATAATGTTGAAAATCGGATGGGAACACATACGTACCGATTTTGCAGTATGAGTTTTAGCGGCTCTTGCTCGTTGTATAAACGAAAAAAATACAAGAAACGTGGATGGTGGCGCAAAGATTGGTTGCTGAAAAGACATACATACTGTCATGTACATTTATTAAAAGAATTGCGATTATATCCAGATAATTTTAATTCCCATTTGTAACATGTTACCAACTCTTCATTAGTATCCGCTTTCACCTGTTGAAATTTAGCAAAAAAAAATATTCACAGCTTTTTTCTAGCGGTTTTATCATAATGATGTAGATTTTATTTTCCAAAGACACTCTGTTCTTTTAAATGCCAAAGAAATCTCTTAAAAACCTCTAGCTATAAGCCGTTTTCGAAATTAACCAGCAAAGGATATCTTGCAGTCGTACGATTTTTAGTTGTCACAATATACACGATCAAATTTACGAACCAACCAATTCTGTCGTACAGCTGCAGACCGACTTGTTTGTATGTAGTCAAATCGCGCCGATTTGGTCGAATGGTGCAAATACACGATAAAATTACGTTCAATTTTGTAGCATTCGACAAAATCGTACTGCGGCGTTGCGTGAGTGGCGGGCTTAAGATGTTTATAAACAATTAAATGTACACCTACATTGGAACCGTATTTCTCCCGATCCGATATCGGGCGACGTCGGATTGAAAACAAACTCAAGGTATTAAATCATAGTGCCTATACTGCTTCAGTGACGAAGCAGTATAGGCACTCTGATTTAATACCTTGAGTTTGGTTTTAATCCGACGTTGGCCGATGTCGCCAGATATCGGATCGGGAGAAATACGGTTCCAATGTAGGTGTACACTTAAACATTGTGTGACCTTGTAACAATTTGCATGCATAATTACACTTAATAACTATCTCTCTCTCTCTCTTTCTCATTAATTACTCAATATCGTATTAAATGTAGTCTAAAGAATTTTATACACATTATAAACTTTACTTCTTTGTGTCTCTTCTTCTCTCGCATAAATGATCTATTTTCATAATTTAAGACACCGAACCTACAGTTCAGATTACTAAAGTACTGAAGTATCTCAATAAAAGACACTGAGTCTAAATCCTACAACAGAAATTAAAACTTTTCTGATCTAGCACTAATTATTTCTTAACATTCAAGTAAGACATACTTATCCGTCAGATTTACTTATGATGTACTGGAGTATCTTGTAACAAAAGACACTGTGACTGGATCCTAGAACTCAAATTAGAATTTTTTCTATCGCTTCTAGGCGTTTCTAAAACCGAAGCGTGAGATCGTAAGGAATTATAAAGTTCCAAAGCTTTTTGCACTCGAGGACTTTGTTTACAATATGGATTTTTAGCAACCATATTCTTTTTTAAAGTACTCTTTCTGAGATCGTCACTTCTTAATATGGCAGGAGATGTCAAGAGCTTTGTATTTTTGAGTGGGGTAGTTTTTAACAATCTTTCGGAACGTCTATTGGCTGACGAGTTTTGATTCTCTTTATCATGGTTTTCATCTGGTACTAATGACTTTAAAGTTTGTAATACATTATTTAATTGAGCGATAGATTGTTGGTGTGTTAATTTTTCGTTTCGTATGGCCTGATTTAATTGAGCGATGGATTGTTGGTGACTTAATTCTTCGTTTCTTATTATATTTTCAATATTATTAATGCATACTGTTAAGTTTGAATTAGAATTATTATTAAGTTTTGGTTTTTTAATACTGTTTATCACCGTGTCTTGCATCAAGTTGCACATATTAGTAATTGGAGAATCGTTACAAATAAGTTCTAATTTATGGAATTCCCGGCTGGAATCGGGAGTTTTAGGTTCATCTTTCATTGCGTCGTCAGTCTCAGGTTCATCTGAAGAATTTGTCTGAATCTCAGGGATATTTTTACATTTATCTATAGCATATTTAGGATCTAACTCAGTCTTTTTTGATGTATGTCTACCGTGTTTGCTATTTGTAACTTTTTTATTTTGTTTTACTATAGGTTTAAACGGGACATTTCCTAGAGTTTTTTTATTAGTTAAAATATCTTTTTCAACTTCTTCCATATCTAATAACGGAGAACATGATGGATTTTGTAGTATTTTACTCTAAAAAAAATAAAATAATTTTATTAGTTAGCACAAATAGGATCTATTAAAAAATAATTTAAACAGCTTAGATTCTAACTAGGTCGACAGATTTAGAAATGAGGAGGTCCTTAGACGATTGAACCAAACAACACAACTGGTCAATATAATAAAAAGACGCAAGCTGAAATACTTTGGTCACATTATGAAACACCCTGGAAAATATGAATGTTGCATTTCATCATTCAGGGAAAGATCCACGGTAAACATGGTCCTAGTAGAAGAATATTATGGCTGAAAAATATACGATAGTGGAACAGAAAATTTAAAGTCAAACGTACTAAACAGTAAATCTCTTTACACAAAATAACGTAAAAGATTTTATACAAAAGCACCTAAAAGAGGATGTCGAAATCTTTGATTGCATAGAATTCGCAATGAAGCTAAAAACAAAACGTGTCTAGGACAAATGGAGAATTATGGCGAAAAAAAACTGAAAGTAATGAAAGAAAAAAGCAAACTCAGATTTCTTACTGGAGAAAAGATTTCATCAACGATGCCATGACCGAAAAGAAAAAACAAATGAGGCAAGAAATTGTAAATAAAGACAAGGAATTGAGAGCAGAAGGTAAAACGTGAAGATATGGTACAAAAAGGTAACTGTGGATGGCATAAAATGGAAATGGGCCGGAAATGGTACTTCCAAATGAGAAAATTCTAGAAATATCGACTCAAAGAACCTACCCTGGCAGGAAAATAAATTAACCTAATAGAAGAACTTAAGAAATATAAAATACACATCATAGCAATACAAGAAACGTAATTGACTGGAATCAACATCGAAAATATTAGTCCATACACGTTTTATACAAGTAGAGGCAAGATTAGGAATTTTGTAGTGGGTTTTCTGGTACATGAAGACAGGGCAGATAAAATTATTTGTAACAAAATCTGACAGAATGTGTGCAATCAGAATTGAAAATAGAACGTGATATCGCTGATAAATATACACGCTTTAACAGATGCAAAAGGAGAAGAAGTGAAAGATGAATTCTATGAAGAACTAGAGCCATTGACTGAAGAAATGCCCAGACAAGATAGAAATTATTATAGGCGACGTCAATGCAAAGGTTGGAAGAGAGGATATATCTATATATATATATATATATATATATATATATATATATATATATATATATATAAACGTAACAGAAAGTAAACATATGAATATAAATGATAATGGCCACAGATTGATTACATTCTCAATTGAAAACATGATGAAAATATGCATTTCAGGATAATAATATATAAAAAGTAATAAAGAAAATTCCGGGATCAAATGAAACATATAAACATAAATGAAATATATATATATATATATATATATATATATATATATATATATATATATATATATATATATATATCTGTATAAGAGAAATTCTCCAATTTAGAACGAATGTGAAAATGTGAAAAGGAGCAGACGTAGACTGTGGTCATTTTTTGGTTAGAGTTAATATGAGTGATGCAATATTTAAAATGCATAAATGGAAAAAGAAACTGCAACCTAAATTTAATTTTGAAGAGCTGCGGAGATTTGAGGTAGTACAGGGTTACCAAAAGGATATACAAGGAAGCTACGCCAAACAAGATAGTGCAACCATGAGTAACATACAAGAAAAGATCTTGAAAATGACAAACACTATAAAGGAAGCAACGTCGAAGAACATATCAAGAACAAGAACATTTAGAAAACACCACTGGTTCGATGACGAATGTAGAGCAGAGTTAAAAAAAAGATCAGATTGAAAATTAAAAAGCTTGTACGCAAAAGCAAGCCGACAAAGAAAGGTATGCCTAAGCACGAAAAAGGGTAAAGAAAATTCTAGGAGCGCGGAAAAGAAAGTATATGGATGATAAAGTAAAGCATATTGAAGAAAATTACAAGAAAAACGAAATAAAAAATTTCTACAAAGAGGTAAAATACATTAAAGTGGGTACCAGGGAAGAACGATGAATGTAAGACATAAGCAAGGAAACCTGATAGTGGACAAAGACCAAATATGTAAAAGATGGAAAGAATATTTCGAAGAGCTGCTAAATGCCGGAGTGTGGAGATTAGAAGAAATACCAAATCTCACAGGAGAATAAAAGATATAAAAAATAAAAAAAAACCCGGGAGGAGCGGCATTGTAGCAGAGAACTTATAATATCAAAGTGAGATTCTACATTTAATTCAGTTTCGACAACTGCGCAGCATTAACAAAAATAAAAGCCAAAGGAATTACAACTCGAATGGAACTAAAACGAATGACGATTAAATAAACCTTGACCCTTTACAGCAAATTACAGTACAGTAAAGAGCTAATTTTAAGTATCAGAGTAATAAAAAGGAAAGCCACGAATGAAAAGATTAGGAAAATACCCAAAAATTCAATATATTAGTAAAACCATAAAGAAAAATAAATGGGGGTGGGCCAAATATTGTGGCAAGAAGCACAATACTAAAGAAACTAGAAATCAACCATAAAAGCTATGAAAGTGAACAAAACGACTTAGACCAGATGGTACGAGAATATCAGAAATACAGCAAAAATTGATGAATAAGTCAAATAACTGAGACCAAAGGAAATGAATGGAGGAGGTGTATGAACTAAGATGAACTGAGGAAAATACTCAATATAAATAAGAAGCCGATACTATGGAAAATAGACGAAGTTGGCTAAAAAACTAGTGTAATAATAATTACCTTTCTTGGTATCGCCACATTTTTAGATCTTCTTTTATTAACTAGTGCTTCATCTGTTTGCCGTCCCATTGAAGTAAAAAGTCTTTTAGCGCTATTTGGTGCATCTATTTTCCTTTTTTTACTTTGACGTTCAGATTCTAAAAAGTATTCTACATAAATTTAATCATATTAAAATAGGAAACGTCAAAACAAACTTATTTTAAAGGAAAATTGTGGCTTATTGCCAATAAGAATACACTTAAGCACAAAATAATCAACTCAAAATTATTTTACGAAAGTATGTCTTTTGTTTCAATCTAAAATATGTAAATTAAAAATATTTAGTGTACAATCAATAACTTTATTATTGAGTTTTAAAGTTTTGTTTTTGAGTGAATCAAATGTCATTCATAAAACAACAGTTTTAAGAAGGAAGAAACAGAAAAGGAAGGGGACAGAATGGTATGATGCGGAATGCGCACAGGCAACTCAAAAAAAGAATCAGGCGTATGGGAAACTCCAAAACAGAAGGACAAGACAAAATCAAGAGGAGTACAAACAGATGAGACAAGCAGAGAAAAAGATCCTAAAACAAATGAAAAAACGACATTTAGAAAACCAGCTACAGGAACTAGAAAGGCTCAATTCACAAAGCGAAGCGCGAAAATTTTATAAAAATGTGAACCACAACAGAAAAGGATTTAAACCTAGAATAACCATAATAAAAACTAAGGAAGCCGAAATTATCAATGAGCCGGATCAAATAGTGGAGAGATGGGCGGAGAATTTTGCAGAGAAATTAAATATAGACAACCGAGAAGTGACTGACATAAATGATGACAGTGGAGACGTAGACGATGAGAGGGAGAAAAATAATATACCAACAGAAGAAGTTGCCAAGGCAATAGAAAGGTTAAACAACAAAAAATCCCCTGGAGAAGATGGTATACCCCCTGAGCTGTTTAAGTATGGAGCAAACGCGCTAAAAACACATAATAAAACTTGTTGCATCCAAATGAAATCGTAGGCTTCCACGGCCAGAGTCAGAATTATAGTTTATTCGTCTTCCGGGTTTGGACCGTGTCATTTGTGAGTGACCCAAAAGTGGGTTCATCTCGACGTTTCGCTACAATTGTATTTAGCTTCTTCAGGAGATAAAGAAAAAGAAGACAGGTAGATGGGTAGTTAGCAACGGTAACTCAGTTACTCAACGCAACCAGAGGCGAATACTAACTACCAAGATGGGCATTTGGTCACAGTAACTCAACTACTCAACGCAGCCAGAGGTGAAAACCAAATGCCAGGACAGTGATTCACGTCCAACAGCTCAGAACACTAACGCGTCGAGAGGCGGGGAGTGAATCCGACGATTACTCCGCTACCGCTCTATTTATAGTCGCGGTGACCTGTCGTGTCGGGACGTATCGGCACACTCAGTGGCGCGAACGTCAAGAAGCGCGCGCTGGCCAATCATGTGGCTGCATCGTGGTAGCGGGACCGGACGGCGGCGGCTCTAGACTGAGATTCCAGATGGGAGACAAGTAGTATCCTTCCTCTCGATTGATATTATGTGGATTTTTTTCGGATCTCTAGAGATTCGCGGATTTTCCTGGAATAAAAGAAGGGGCTCTTAGAAATAATATGGGTTTTTTCGAACAATATGGAATGACCGGTTTCTTGGCAGTGTTCTGCAACTGCAGAATGGGAGAAAAGACCTGATCGGATGCATCTTTGATGCTCTTGAATCCGAGTTTTGACGGAACGACCAGTTTCGCCAATATACACATGTCCACATGAACAAGGAATAGAATAGACACCACAGGAAGGAGAGGGGCGGTAATGGGTCCTTAGGAGAGGGTAGATATTGTGAGATTTTCTTGGGTGGTCGAAAAGTAGTCCTGATACCTTCTTTACGAAGAATTTTGCCAATCCTATCAGTGACACTTCGAATATACGGAAGAAAGAAGAAAAGCCACAGGAGTATTACCCGAAGATAGCAAAATTAAGACCTTTAGATAGAAGACTGCTTTCTGCACTTGTTAATTGGTGAGAAGAAAGATTAACGACGGTGTTAGTAAGAGGTGACTGAGAAGTAGAAGTGGTGGAATGTGATTTTTTCCTAGATACAAGGGATTGGAATTTCTTTTTTTTGCCCCAGAATTTACGGTCTTCCCAAAATCCATAAAGACAACGTACCTCTTCGTCCCATTGTGACCACGATTAACTCTCCTACCTACAAACTCGCAAAGTACTTGTCGAATCAGTTTAAGACCTATACTGGTCGTACCTCTTCTTATGTCCGAAATTCCACACATTTCATCACCTTAATCTCCTCCCTCACGGTCGATCCCCAAGACATTCTCGTCAGTTTCGATGTATCATCCCTATTTACCAATATCCCCATACATGACTCTTTAGTTGTTCTGCGAGATCACTTGACCAATGATAACAAGTCTTTGGTTTTGGCAGATCTTGCGGAAAAATGCCTCCTTTCAACATATTTTTCTTTTAGAGGCAATTTCTACAAACAAATATCTGGAACACCAATGGGTTCTCCCCTTTCCCCTGTCATTGCTGACATTTTCATGGAAGCCTTTGAGTCTTTAGCCCTAGAATCTTACCCCTTAAAACCGAAAGTCTGGTTCCGCTACGTTGATGATACATTGATCATCTGGCCCCATGGTCAACATACCCTTTCTCCCTTCCTAGATCATCTTAACTCACAACATCCGAGTATAAAATTCACAATGGAAGTAGAAAATAATCGGTCCCTTCCCTTTCTCGATGTGTTAGTCACCTCCAAGCCCAATGGCCGTTTGGGTCACTCTGTTTATAGAAAAAAGACTCACACGAATCGTTACCTACATGCTTCATCACACCACCATCCTGCCCAAAAGAATTCTGTGATCAACTCTCTCATCCATCGGGCCATTTCGATTTCTGAACCTGACAACCTTAGAGAAGAACTTGGCCATCTGCAAAAAACCCTTGTCGCCAACGGTTACTCCAAGTCCACAATTCAAAATATTACACACCGACATCTACATCCCCCTTTACACCATAGGACGACAAATTCAGAATCTTCGGGTAATACTCCTGTGGTTTTTCTTCCGTATATTCGAAGTGTCACTGATAGGATTGGCAAAATTCTTCGTAAAGAAGGTATCAGGACTACTTTTCGACCACCCAAGAAAATCTCACAATATCTACCCTCTCCTAAGGACCCATTACCGCCCCTCTCCTTCCTGTGGTGTCTATTCTATTCCTTGTTCATGTGGACATGTGTATATTGGCGAAACTGGTCGTTCCGTCAAAACTCGGATTCAAGAGCATCAAAGATGCATCCGATCAGGTCTTTTCTCCCATTCTGCAGTTGCAGAACACTGCCAAGAAACCGGTCATTCCATATTGTTCGAAAAAACCCATATTATTTCTAAGAGCCCCTTCTTTTATTCCAGGAAAATCCGCGAATCTCTAGAGATCCGAAAAAAATCCACATAATATCAATCGAGAGGAAGGATACTACTTGTCTCCCATCTGGAATCTCAGTCTAGAGCCGCCGCCGTCCGGTCCCGCTACCACGATGCAGCCACATGATTGGCCAGCGCGCGCTTCTTGACGTTCGCGCCACTGAGTGTGCCGATACGTCCCGACACGACAGGTCACCGCGACTATAAATAGAGCGGTAGCGGAATAATCGTCGGATTCACACCCCGCCTCTCGACGCGTTAGTGTTCTGAGCTGTTGGACGTGAATCCCTGTCCTGGCATTTGGTTTTCACCTCTGGCTGCGTTGAGTAGTTGAGTTACTGTGACCAAATGCCCATCTTGGTAGTTAGTATTCGCCTCTGGTTGCGTTGAGTAACCGAGTTACCTTTGCTAACTACCCATCTACCTGTCTTCTTTTTCTTTATCTCCTGAAGAAGCTACATACAATTGTAGCGAAACGTCGAGATGAACCCACTTTTGGGTCACTCACAAATGACACGGTCCAAACCCGGAAGACGAATAAACTATAATTCATCCATTTGGAGAGAAGGAAAACTCCCAGACAGTTGGAATGTAGGTATTATAATACCTATTCACAAGAAAGGGGATGCACTAATATGTGACCACTATCGGATACTAATATATGATAATAATATATGAAACTCTTATTAAACCTGTCCTGACATACGCGTTAGGCCGCTTTGAAAGAAGAATACTTAGGCACATAAACGAAGGAGTACAAGAAAGCGGGATATGGCGCAGGCGCTACAATTTTGAGTTGTATCAATGCTATGAAAAATGCAACATGCATTTCCTTTCAAATGAAGTGCTATAAGACTTCCTTTGCTATTTAAATTGATGATGTAGCTATCCCCTATATGGGTTTCAATTCGCACTATATGTATGCGTATTCCTATTATATTTACCTTCTATTTCCATTCTTAATTTGTTGAAGTCCAAAGGTTCAAGTTTACTAAAGTTGCTGCTCTTTTTATCCACCTTATCTAAAATGATTAATGTCATTCATTTTAATAAAATTTATTAATAAAAATGAAAAATATATTAAAAGTTTATACTCATAATATATTTCTTAAAAATTGAGAAAAAAATTGGAATAAACAATTGGACTTTGTAACTCCTAAGTTTTTACCCAACCCTAGCTTTTTTTAAACTGTTCACTAATTTTGAGTCATTTTTGCCAAACTTCCGGTCATAGCTTTTTAACCGGAAATGACATCAAAACCGGAACTAAATACGTGTACTATTTTTGCGACTATAATGTGGCACTTCCGGTTACAGCTTTTTAACCAGTAACGCATATAAAAACCAGTAGTATATATTTATCCTCGTCTTGCTAAGGCACGTCGAATAATATATCGCTTGTACTATTTCGACGACTTTAAAACAGTAGGTACTTCTGCTTGAAACTCTGGTAATCCTATGGAAAATGTCAAATTCAAAACATATTCTGCCTGGACTATTATAGTACGGTTATGATGTAATATTCAATAAAAAGTGTTCAATTATATATTGCAATGATGCGATGATATTTTAATAGTGCATACATACCTAAATTATCTGTTTCATCACTTTCGAAGTTTAGCGGCAGGGGAATTATTTTTCCTGTGTCTGGATCAATTTCTAAAAAATAATACAGAAATATTTTAATAACATATATGATCATATTTTATTAAAGTTAAGTTTTAATTAACCCAACAAGTCTGATTTTGAGGCTATAGCTTTAAAGTCTATAATCTGTTGCAACTCACATGTTTTATTATAGTATACCTAGACCATTATATCAGTAAAATTTGGACTTACTTTTTAGGTTATACAAGAAAATAAGTTTTTTTCTTGAAGTAACCCACATACTAGTTATACTAATTATAAAACATATTTTAAATAATTTTAATCCTCTACATATATAATATGCATATATAAGACCATATTTTCTACTCAAAAACCATTAATCATTAATAAAGTCCAGCTGTTCTTAAGAAATTATAAAATGGTTTTAGATCTTGTAGTACTATCTTAAATATTTCTTTGAGTTCTTTCATTTTTTCTGTGGATAGTGGTTTACCTGTTGGCCATAAGTGCTGATTAAACTCCATACTTACTTACTTACTCCGTGGTGTTACAACCCTTCGTGGGTTTTAGCCGACTCGACAACATGCCTCCTGCATGCCTCCTGCCTCCTCCATAGGTCTCCTGCTATATTATCTCGCCACCGGAGACGAGGGCGTCCGCGTGGTCTCCTTCCAGTTGGGACTTCCTCCCACACCAGTCTTCTGAGGTGTCCTGCCCATTGGAGTCTTCTGGACTTTATTTCTTTTATGATGTTGGCGTCTGGGTAAAGTTTTTCGAGCTCTTTGTTAGTTCTTATCCTATATTGTCCTGATGCTTCATCTAGCACAGGACTAAAGATCTTCCTGAGGATTTTTCTTTCCCAAACACATAGTCTCTCTTCGTTTGCCTTTGTTATCGTCCACGTTTCGCTTCCATACATCACAACGGGTCGTATGATTGTTTTATAGACCTGTATCTTCGTACGTTGTGTTTGTTGTTTCGATTTTATAAGGTTTTGGAGGGCAAAAAGACATCTGTTGCCGGCCTGAATCCTGTTGTTTATTTCTTGTGATCCATTATTGTCTTCAGTTATTGTTGTTCCAAGATACTTGAATTCTCTAACGCGCTCAAAGTTAAAGTCATCGATGGTGATGTTCTGACCGATTCTGTCTCTGCTTTGGTTATTACGGCTCATATACATATATTTCGTCTTGTTTTCGTTGATTTGGAGCCCCATCTTCTCTGTTTCCTTCTCGAACCTCACGAAAGTCTCCTTCATCCTTAATCGTGTGTTTCCTATTAGATCGATATCGTCTGCAAATGCCAGTAGTAAGTTTGGTCCTTCTCGATGAAATACTGTATTAGGGTTTTTGATTCTTGCACTTCTGATTATGTGCTCCAGAGCTAAGTTGAAGAATTGTGGTGAAAGTGCATCTCCCTGTTTTAGTCCATTGTTTATTTCAAATGTCTCCGAGTATTGTTGTCCAACTCTCACCTTACATCGTAACCGTTCCATAAAAATCCGTATCAACCTGACTAGTTCTTTGGAAAGCCAAGTTCCTGCATCGCTGTCCACAGTATGTCCCTGCATACTCTATTAAATGCTTGTTTAAAATCTATAAACATCTGATGAAGCTCACGATCAAACTCCCAGCATTTTTCCATTATCTGTTTTATTGTGAATATCTGGTCAATAGTAGAGCGGCCCGGTCTAAATCCGCATTGATAATATCCAAGATTTCTTCTGTGTATGTTCTGGTTCTTTCTAGCAGGATGTTTGCAAGGATTTTGTAGGTGGTGTTTAGGAGTGTTATTCCCCTGTAGTTAATACATTGCTTTTTGTTTCCTTTTTTGTGTATTGGTACAATAACCCCTTCTTTCCATTCATCTGGCATTGTTTCTTCTCGTCAAATGTCTTGAGTTAGTTTAAAAAAAAAAGGTTAATCTTTGTAAATGGGTATATTTATTTTACGGGTTATTATTAAAGATTAAAGATTAAAGGTTAAAGATTAACCTCTTTTTGTTATACGTGGTATACAGCCAGCTACAGGAATTTTTCCTTGTGGATTTTGAGTTAGTTTGTATATAGAACTGTACAACGCTTCTCCTCCATGTTTTAAGCACTCTGCGGGTATACCATCGCTACCTGGTGTCTTATTATTTTTAAGTTTTTTAATTGTCTGTATTACTTCTTCGTATGTCGGGTATTGGTCTTCTATTTCAGCTATATGTCCCTCTATGTTTGATGTATTTCTGCTAGTTTGGTCATTCAATAGTTGATAGAAGTATTCCTTCCAGGTTTTTAGGATTAAACTCCATATCTTTGAATGATTTCTGCAGTTGACTTTTTTTACATCTACTATCTGTACATTTTCTTCTGTTGAGTCAGAACTCATGTACAGCAAGACAGAATCACTTTTAAAACTTTGATTTCATGAGTCTTGAGCCAGTTTACTTTCTCTTTCTCTGATTTAACTTTCTTGTCAATGATAAATTCCAGTAGTTTGTCAATTAAAACCATTTCTCCTCGTTCTATTTTGTTAACAACAAATTTGTTGTTTCTTCTACATTTTTTCGTAAAATTAATGTAGCTTCATTCTTGCACAAACGCTGTTAAATTTTAAAGAGCGCTCATCATCCCCAAATTCTAAATCATTGGGCAAAAAGACAATTGTCTTTTGCTCGATGGCCCTGGTAGTAAGAATCATCAAGTGATGATTCTTACAGTCTGACCGCAGAACTAAGTTTTTAACAGGTGGATTAATATGATCTTTTATGTACTTCCTTAAACAGGATCCCATATCTTTGGTTCCTCATCCAGCTTCATGTTTACTTTAAATTACAGTAAATAAACTGTTGATTGGCGCACCTTCTTATTACTAGAAACGTTTGACCACTTTCCACATTGTTTAGGATGTTTTTAACATATCAAGTTTAATATTATAAAAACTATTAACCAAATAATAGAAGATAACAACGATTCTCTAATTTGCTGTTTAACTGTCATGGCACCAATGTGTATTGATACAGGATTGAGTGTTTTTTGCAAAATAAACTTAAAATAGTTGACTGTGTGTTGAGTAGTTTTAGTTTGAATTGATAGTTAAACGTTTTTTGCATAATTGCGATTTGAATATTCAGAGATTGTAAAATTTCAACTGCATCACTCTTTTAAATACTGATGTGGCTGAAATCATTCTTGTATTATTTAAATAACAATATAATCTACCATGTGATTATTGTAACTCAATTTTTAATAGTTTGTAGTTTAATTGTTTTTTGCATAACACCATCCAAATGATCAGTATAACGATATCTTATTATTTCATGTCTTTTGTGGAGAAATTCTGCATTGAAATCTGTACTTTTTCAGTGACTTTCTTCAGAAGGTGAGTGCTATACTCAAACCATTAATTTGTTTCTTAACCAAGAGACCATTCTAGTCCTAGGCTGCATGTTTTCTCCATTTTACTTGCATCATATTCTGTCAAAATGTATATCTGGTATTGGATCCTTCTTCTTCAATTTCCACTTCTATCGGAGATTGGAAATCATTCTGGCAATTATAATTTTATTGGTTACTCGCCTGAATAGTTCAATTGAACTGCATCCAAACCATTCACGGAGATTGCGTAGCCACGAGATTTTACGCTTTCTTTTTTTACGATTTTTACTCTTCCTACGCTTCTACCTTTGATTTTACCCTGCATTATATTCCTTAGTAGTTCGTACTTTTCACCTCTCATGATGTGCCCCAAGTATTCCAATTTCCTGATTTTTATGGAATTTAAAACTTCGCATTGTTTTCCTAATTGTTCGAGAACTTGTTCGTTTGTTTTGCGATCCATCCAGGATATTTTCAAAATACGTCGGTAACACCACATTTCGAATGCTTCTAGATTTTTAATGTTGGATTTTTTAAGTGTCCAAGCTTCAACTCCATACAAAAGGGTAGAGAAAATATAACATCGAAGCATTCTTATCCGGAGCGATATATTGATATCGCGATTACAAAAAAGTTTTCTCATTCTATTAAAAGTTGACCGCGCAATTTCAATGCGGCATCTTATTTCTTTTGTCTGATCAGTATCTTCTGTGATCCATACTCCAAGGTATTTGTACGAAGATATTTGTTCAATTTCTGTATTATCTAGTACTAGCTTAACTTTGATGTTTTGTGCTTTTGTAAATACCATGAACTTGGTTTTCTTCAAATTGATTTTTAGTCCATCATCATCATCATCATCATTCAGCCCATACTCGTCCACTGCTGAACATAGGCCTCCCGTAGTTCACCCCACAAATTTCTGTCCTGAGCCGCCTGCATCCAATTTTGATGTATCCGTTTCAGGTCATCCGTCCATCTTGGTGGTCGTCCTCTATTCCTAAAGGCATCTTGTCTGGGTCTCCACTCAAGAATGCGTTTTCTCCATCTGCCGTCCTTCGTTCTCGCGACGTGCCCTGCCCAGTTCCATTTTAAGGTTGATATTCTTTTGATTGCGTCGGTTACTCCCGATCTACGGCGCAATTCTGTGTTGGGTATTCGGTTTCTCAGGGTTAATCCCAACATGGACCGTTCCATTGCCCTCTATGTTGTTCGAATTTTGTTTGCGGACGTCTGAGTAAGTGTTAGCGTCTCCGCACCATAGGTTAGAACCGGCAGCACACATTGATCGAAGACTTTTCTCTTCAAGCAGATGGGAAGAGCTGATTGGAAAACATCTCTTAGCTTTCCATAAGCTGCCCATGTCAACCCTATTCTACGTATTAGTTCATTGGTCTGGTTATCTCTACTTAAGCGAATTTCGTGTCCCAGATATTTGTATGCTGATGTTTGTTCTATACTTGTTCCAGCTATGTTGATGTTCTCGCTCAGAACAAGGTTTGTCATCACTTGTGTTTTTGAGTTATTGATCTTTAAACAAACTTGTGTAGAGGCATGGTAGAGTCTTTCGCACATTTCGATGGCATAATCTATGCGGTCTGTTATCAGGACTATATCGTCCGCGAACCTGAGGTGACTAAGCTGCTCTCCATTTATGTTTATGCCCTTTTCGTCTAGGTTTGCACGCTTACACATGTATTCCAATAATGTTGTAAACAGTTTTGGTGAAATGGTGTCGCCCTGGCGAACTCCACGATGAATGTTGAACTTGTGTGTATCTTCATGGAGTCTGACGCATGCCGTGGCATTATCATAGATATTTTTGATGACAGTGGTGTAGCGGTGATCTATTCGGCACTCCTTCAAAGCTTACAGCATCTTCCGGTGGTTTACTGTGTCGAATGCCTTCTCATAATCCACAAATATTAGGACGAGGGGTTTATTGTACTCTATACATTTTTCGATGAGGCTTTTAATAACTTGTAGATGGTCGTTTGTGCCGAAGCCTGACCTGAATCCTGCCTGTTCGCATGATTGGTAAAAGTCCATTTTGTTCGAAAGTCTGTTTGTTATGACTTTTGTAAAAAGCTTGTATATGTGTGAGATGAGGCTGATTGGTCTATAGTTTACGAGATTTGTTAAATCTCCTTTCTTAAACATTAGAATGATCACTGAATTTTGCCATTGTGATGGTGTTGTTCCTCTTTCAAGGCATTCTGTGAAAAGTATGGAAAGCATTTGTATCAGTTTCTCGCCTCCTAATTTTATGGCTTCGGCAACGACCCCGTCGTCGCCAGGTGACTTATTATTTTTCATTTGTAGGAGAGCTTTTTTGATTTCATCAACAGTAACATCTGGTATGTCTTCCAAGCCCTGGTTTAGAACCTTTGGTATGTTGTCAGTTGGGAACATTTTCTTCTGTTTTGCTGTAGAGTTCGCTGTAAAATTGTCCGACAGTTTGTAGAATTTCCTGTTTATCTGTTATTATTTCGCCCTTTGTGTTTTTCAGTTTGTAAATGTTTTTCTTTCCTATTTGCTGTTTCCTTCTGAAGACTTTTAAACTTTTGTTCTCTTCTATGACTTTTGATATCTCTCTGGTGTTGTAATCTCTTATATCTTTTCTGATGTTCTTAGTGATTTGTTTGTTTAGTTGTCTCATTTTTGTTAGATTGGTTCTGTATTTATCTGTTAAATGTCTTCTTTCCTCTAATAGAGTTTTCGTGCTTAGACTTAGTTTTTCTTCGTCTTTTTGGTTTTTTGGGCAACATTTTTCTTGTGCTTGTTTCAGAGCTTTGACTATTTTCTGGTTTAGTTGTTCGATGTTTATGTTTTCTGTTTCTTCGTTTTGTAATTTTTCTTCGACCGTACGTTCAAACAGTTTTGCATTTTCAGGTGGTACCCATCTTCTAACATTTGGTTTAGGAACAAGCTTCATTCTTTCTTTTTTAACGTTAAGCATTACTTTTGTTCTTATCATCCTATGGTCGCTGCCAGCAGAGAACTTGTTGAGTACTTCCACGTCTTGTATTATATATTTTTTATCTGTAATTATAAAGTAGATTTCGTTTTTGACGGCGCCATCAGGGCTTATCCAAGTCCATTTGTTTTGGGGTTTCTTTTTAAAGAAAGAGTTCATTTGAAACATGCATTGATGATGTAGAAAGTTTAGCAGAAAAGCATGTCCCCTCTTGCGTTTCTTGCCCCGTATCCGTACTTTCCTAACGCGATCTCCGCTTGGTCTTGTTTGAATCCGAGTTTTGCGTTGAAGTCGCCCATGAGAACAGTATAGTGTGTTCGTGTTCTTTGTTGTGCCTCTGCTACATCCTCATAGAATTTTTCAACTTCTTCATCTCTGTGTCCAGTTGTCGGGGCGTAGACCTGTATAACTTTTAAACTATAACGAGAGTTTAGTTTTAATATCAATAGGATGACTCTCGTGCTTATGGTCTCGATTTTCGTTATGTTGGATATGTGTTTTTTATGTACAATGATCCCGATTCCACCGTTGGATGAATGTTCCTCTCCTCTGTAGTGGAACAGGTGTCCTGATTTCAATGTTTGTTGTTCTTCTCCTCTCCTTCTAATTTCACTAAGTCCCATTACATCCCATTTTATTGTTTTTAATTCGTTTTCCAGTTCTATTAGTTTATGATCGGTTGAGTGGGTTCTTATATTATAGGATGCAAGATGCAGTATTCTTGTGCAGTTTAGCCGTCTTGAGTGGTAGCCTGGTCCATCCCGGGTATTCTTAGCACCCTCTGCTCTTAATCTTTTCTGTCCGCTACCTTGGTCAGAGATTTTTGAGCTGCCGGGGACTGAGGGCCGTGTTTGGTTTGTGTTTTGCATGTTTACGGGGGGTTTGGCCTTAAAACGCCACGCTGGCCAGACGTGTTGGCGAGTTGGGGGAGGATATAGGGAAGGAATTTGGGGTTTGGGTAGGATAATATTGGGGTTTGTGCCTTGGCGGACACCACGGCGAATCTGGATATCCTTGGTCAGTTCGTTTTCAACTTTCACTTTTGCTGTTTGATTCCAATAGAGGTTACAGATGATTCTAATGTCTTTACTGTCTATGTTTTTATTATAGTATTGGATTGAGTGCATCAAATTTATGATCTACAAAGAAATCCGAAAGAATATTTCCAAGTACTGGTGATATTGTGAAATAAAATTTGGAAAGATCTGTCAATACTATTTATCCAGTCCAGCTAAGTAGCATTAAGGCGAGGTTTGGCCACGTAGATATTAAGCCATCTCCTGCATCTGGGTATCTATGCCCTTGCTTCCACCACCCGAAAAGATGTAAACATGTCCACTCATATCCTTTTCATATAAGGACTTATTCAACAGCGTCTTCGTTGACATCTATTATGACGTTCTCCATAAGTTTCGCGTCGTCTCGTCCTTCTGTCCAGAAGTTTGACGTCACATGCCTGCTCTTTGCCTACAGCTTCCTCTACTGCTTTCTTGATCACTTAGCGTAATGTTGGGTGGGATTTCCTGTACTAAGATCCTCTTTTTGACAGTGCCCCGTTTGGATATGCTTACTTTCTCTGAAAGTATTTTCTTTAATATATATATATATATATATATATATATATATATATATATATATTATTTTTTATTTATATATTATGATTTTGAAAGGTGTTAAAATTTTTTATGTGTGTAGCAAAAGTAGATAGCAATCCCATATTGTGAGTGATTAAGTGAGGCTACTAATCTATATCCTGGAATTTGACAGCGGTTGTTCAGTTGGATGTCGCCATCAATGTGTGTTTCCTGCACTGTGGCTATGTCAATGTTGTTTTCTGCAAGAAGCTTGCTGATGTATTCGCTTTTGCTTCGATTAACGCCATCAATGTTTATTTGGCATAGCAACTCCGATTGTTGGTAAAATTGTTAGATGGTTATGAGAAGAACCATTTTTTCTTTGTTGCATGGTTGTTTGCAATGTGTTCGCCAGGTAATATCACAGGTATAAAAATGCCGATAACTGGAGGCGAAAATCGTCAATCCTGCAACCTCGTCATAATTGGTGCTTGCAGTATGCAATAAATCCACATCATCTACAGAAACAGAGATATTATCTACCATAATGAACTGGTTGATGTGATTACCATTGCATTATCCCTTCAGAAAAAACTTCACAGGCATACCATCGACACAAAGAAGTAACGCAAAAAATCTTAACTTACCAAACATCTTCTTTGGAAACTTAAACCCACCAAACTCGCTTTTCCTATTCATTTTGTGGCTTTTCAATGCAAATATTTCGATTTAAATTATAATACAATACAGCTTGTACATATATTATTATCACAAGTACATGCACAATTAAAAATGAAATTGCAATGCAATCAAAAGACAAAAGCTTATGTCTTTTTCGTCAACTGGATAAAGGTAACTGCAGATGAATATCTGAAAATAAAACGAATTATGAGTTATTTGTATAAAACTAAATACGGACAATAAAAAAGTACTATCTTAATAGGGGAGAATGGAGGAATGACGGTCACTTATGGGAAAAATACTGGGAGGGATGTGATAAATTATATTTTATTGAGGTTTCCAGTGCAATGTGTTCGTTTGTTATTTAGTAAATGATTGACCGGTATTACTATATGTTGTCGGATAATGGAGGTCAGGGTATGGGGAAATGGCGGTCTTAGATTAGAATAGCTCAATAAGAACAATGACAGATTAAATTCCATGTATTATTACATATTAACACATAAAAATTAAATGAACAAAGCAAATCATTCAAACATTATTTTACCATATCTCAGATTTTCAAACCTGATAAGTTTGGCCACAATGTCATGTTTACTGATAAAACTCAAGTCATCTACTTCTGTGAAAACAAATATGTGCCATTGACCTATATGCACATATAAACTTCACTGAAATAGAATTCTTCTTTGCTTTTTCATTTGAAACTGTCACAAGAAGAAAGTCACCTACGTTATTTTGTTGTGGTAGGTATTCCAGGCTAAACTTTTGGGTAGAATATCTTCAACTTCGCTGTCATCGAATTGCATTGAGTCACTGTCTCTAAATTCCTATTATAAATCGCTCTCATTTGGACAGTGTACCTCAGAATCAGATGAATCAAATACAATTCCCAACTTTAAGAGTACATTTTTTTAAGGTTTGTTTTCAATCTCTCAGTTTTAAATGCTCTTCACATTTCTCTTTTGTCTTTTCTAGCTCATCTTTGAATAGTGTTATTGTCAAAATTTGCGAATGCATCTTTCTGGCATCATTTGGTCCTGTTTCAGAAAAATCAATCAGAAGAGTGTAACATCTTGAAAGATCATCACTTGTACACCATGAGATGGTGATATTGCAGCCCCCTTTGAGATTCTAGATGGAAATCCTCTTAGTAGAATGTTTGGCAGTTTATAGGATATATTTCAGTAGATGCAAATCCAGAGATTGACAACTGTGGAAACAAATTTGTTTATGCCTTTATATTCAAAATCACTGGTTGCTTCAAGTGTTGTTTCTGAGAGAACAGTTCAATTTTACGCAAAAAGTGCTAATCAACATTTTTGTTCAAAATGTCTCAGCTGCATTTTTTATTTGAAATATTTTTTTCTATGGCGTGCAGATTGTTGGTTAATCGATTTTTTGCGTTTTTAACATCCCTACTGGAGGATTATAGGGGGATACCCGGGAGTTAAAATAGAAAGCTTTTTTGCACCTTTTTTGGGGTCACAAAATTGATATTTTCGGCAAAATTCAGCTTGTTCGTATGATTTTTACAGGTCCAATCTCTGATGAATGGACTAATTAAAAGAGAGAAAAAAGAAAGATAGAAGCCAAGGATATGTATGTAATAAGGAGAACACTGAAGATTTCAAGAAGAGATAAGATACATGAAGAAAACGAATGGGACTAGAAGATCACTTGTTACTGCATCTTTCCACCTCTTTCTTGGGTGACCAACTGACCTTCTGCCATCGGGCCTTTCCCATCAGGTGCTGCTGTGAGAACAACTACAACAAACCTGTACCGAAGAGGACCTAAAGCAAGCCTATAAAAGAGCCATGGATGTCATCAAGCACTGAGAGCACACTATTTGACTGGTATTGAAGTGTGTATGTTGGAAACTTGCTAAAGGAGGCCAGGCTATGAACTAGTTACTAGGGCATATCTAAAGAAATTTCGCTGCTTAAATTCAAAGATAAAATAATAAATATGAGTTCCCAAAATTTTTTCTAAACTAAAAATCATTGCAGATTGCTGTAATAAACTTATTGCCACCTCTTTGGAGGTTATTTTAAAAGGAATTTTTATAGACAGCATTACATTACAGATATAGATATCTCTAAGTCTCCTTATTTTCAACATAACAAAGACAAAATGACTTCTAAATGTTTAATAGATTAAGAAATAAACTCAAGAGTTCACTGTATAATTTAAAGGTTATTTTTAAGGATGCCAGAGAAGCCAGTTTCGGAACAATATATTTCTTTTCTTTGTTTTTTTCTTAATTAGTCTCACTAATTTGCGATGAAACTTCTGCATGTAACTAATTATGGTAGATATGAATTCTGTGTCTCGTTATCATATTTACAACATGTGTTATTCTGAACTCTTTTTCTGTTAAATTTGATCTTGTTATTGTTTTCAGATGCTAGCATTATAATATGTCAGTCATGGCAGTGTATTTATTTATATAAAGAAACTATGGAGATCAACGAATCGATTGATATTTGATCTTTCTGTAAGATTTATTACATTTTTCCCAATTTTAAAACAAAATTGGAAAAAAACGCAAAAATCCAAAATGTTTCAATGTAATATCCGACTTACCCACGTTTAATATGTTTTGCAGAACAAGTTTATCTTAAATTTAAATTTGGTTCATTTTAATTATAAAAAAAACGAGAAACTTCACATTTATTCAGACTTTTTGAAGTTTCGCTCCTTTGGCGCCATAAACAATAACAATAACCTAATTCTTCTTATGTATTAGCAAGTAGCTGTTTAAGGTCTTGCTCACACAAAAATTATAAATTTGTATACTCTAAGATTTAAAATGCCTTAAAATAATCTATTAATATTTCATATATTGCCATTTTATAAAAATAAATAAACCCAGTAGGCCAGTAATCACTGTGTTCATTTCTTCAACTTTTTTTCAAACTTTGTAGTCCTCTAAAACGTGACTGAATACATGGAAAAGAAGACGTATAGAAAAACTTGTAACTGATTGACAGCTAGAACCGTTTATATAATAATATTTTTAAATTTTTATTTAAACTGTAATTTTATATTATTATACAAATACAGATTTTTAAATTTGAAGACGACGACATGAATAGAAAAAGTGATAATAGGGGATTTAAGTTCCCAAAGATAATGTTTGGTAAGTTTACGTATTTTCTATTGTATTTTATTCTTAATTTTTAGTTGACATATTTTCTTGAATTTGTTTTAGTAAACAAAAAGTATTGTTAAGTTTTTTTTAAGTGTAAATTACAAATAAGATAAAGATTTCGGACATTTTTCAGTCCTAGGACATAAAGAGTCCTTTCTCGTTTGTATGAGTTTAAAATACAAACGACAAATGATGATCGAGGCACAGATAAATTAACAGAAAACTTTTATTTTATCGACTTTTGTTTTATTTGTACTAGATTTTGAATGTGTTATAATCTGTGAAAAGCCTACAGACATTCGGTAATTTTCTCTGTAGAATATTAAAAGTTTTTAACCCTGTTTCATGGATTTCAAGATAAATTCATTAAATAGTGAGTATCACTTACAAGGGAATAAAACATTTATTTTGAGAAAATGATCACAATTGCACAAATAATCCATAATGTTGAAAAATATGTGGCTGAAGAAGAAAAACATAAATATAAATCATTGTCAAAAAGGTGTTGTTTTGAGAACTGAAAGGTGTGTTTATCTGTAGCCTTTTACATTTATTCTTTTGAGTACCTTTGTCTTCTTATTATTGATACTTCATAATCATGGACGTATAAATAAAAGATCTTTATTTATACGTCCATGTTCATAATATATTTAAAGCTGTTCTAAACAGTTAAGAGATAACAACACAAGTTTTTCAAAATAATGAACTTTGTGTATTCTAAATCTTTGTTGTTTTACTTAGTTTGGTCTATAAGTTATTATCAGTGGAAGTTGCATACACTAAACTTTGAAGTTTTGGTTGCACATATAATTTTGCTTTGTGTAATTAAGATTTATGTTGTTATGGGTAATTTGATTCATAATGAACTGAAAATATATCAATATTTCCATCCAATTATAAGTACCCTACTTGAAAGTTAAATGCAGATAAACATGACAAAACCATTCAGAATTGGATAGATCAACCAACAAGACATCATCATTGGTGAGGTTACAGTTCTTAGCAGTACTCAAACTTCTTGTTTTCTGCACCATATTTTTCTGGTTCTGAACTTGGGTTTTCCAGATAAAAACACCAATGTTCTTAGCATCTAGTGCCACCCTATCTATTTACCTGAGAATTGAACTATTATGTATTTGTAATGTAATATTGATTAATTAATGTTGTAATGTTTGTTTTTTGATTGACTTGTGAGTTTCTTGTTAATTTTACATTCCCATTTTTGTGGCATCATTAAATGTCTATAGTTGTCCAACTTTTGCTAGTTGCTATTTTACATAATCTCTCGCCATATTGTAGAATACAGATTCTAACAAAGAATAAAAGGAAACTCACATAGGTTAAATGTCTTGTGAGAATATTTGATATACACATTTCTGACATAGATTTTACTACAAAATTTGACAGCAATATGCTGACAGCTATGACACAAAATAGTTACCTTGGTGTGTAAAAAAAGTTATCATGTTACAGTAGTACATAAATGATAACGCATAATTTTTATGGAAGTCAAATAGAGTCATGAACATCAAGTAATGACTGGTATAATTAGAAACATACTACATATAAACAATATACAAGAACAAAGCATAGGAGATTACTGGTACGGTTTCGGAAAAGAAGATCTATATTAGACACTAGACATATGCTAAAACAAGTGATAGAGAAAACATATGAGTATAAAGGAAAAACACATATACTTTTCTAGATGTTAAACAGGTGTTTGACAAACTGCTTACAAGAGATATACCAAATATAATTATAAGAATTATAAAAATGAAAATGTCAGATTCCCAAGTAACAATAGACACCAGAAGAGAGAGAACAGAAATAATAAAAATAAAAAATGAGTATGAAAAGGAGATGTGCTCTCAATGGTAATATTCTATCACTAGACAAGATAATAAAGAAGTTGTCAAATGCAGGAACTATAAACAAGAATATAGTACAAATAATAGGATATGCAGACAATATAACCATAGTAGCAACAGATAAAAGGTTCCTTTAGTTTCTGGAGTCCACATATACAAAATCATATAACATATACATATGAAAAAACTTAAGAACATGTAAAGAAAACTCAATGTTTTTTTTAATAATTCATAACTTTAAAGCGAATCCAGTTATCAAAATAAATTTAAAACAGTGTATAGGAAAAGAACCCAGCTTGGATATAGAATTAAATTAAGGTGGTAAAAACCTTAAATTAAGATGGTAGGAACCTAGTTTTATTTTTCCTTATATAATATGTATAATTCCAGCCTTATTCGGAGATCTGAATGGTGTAACTTAATCTCAAATGATGAGACTTAAATGAGTCTTAAATAAAAAAGTTATTTTGAGATCGTATTTGTTAAAATTTTAAAGCATTCTTTTTTATGCACCTAAGTATATAATTATATCTTCAAACTTCGTTAAAATCATTGTAATTTATTTTTTAGAAGTTGATCCAGAGACAGGACGAGAAATTCTACTTCCCCTCAATTTTCAAAATAATGACATTAAACAAGGTATTTATGCATAATTGAGATATCTATAAGTTGGTGAAATATCAAAAACTGTAAACTTTTGAATATCCTTAAACAACAATTTACTAAAAATAATTAGGAATTTTTAATACAAGACAGCTTATACACAATGTAATCGTTAAGATTTACATATTAACTCATTTGTAATATCTAACTATTATTGTACAGTTTCTTGTATTGTTCAAATCTAATATAACCAAAGCTGTGTTGTGTATTTGAGTCGGATCCATAGGTGTAGTAGTAATAAACTAGATGTAGAACTGTCATCGGCGCTAATTCAGATATCAAAATCGAGTGGGAATTACAAGTAAATTTGTTTCACAAACATGCCTCATACATTATTAGATTAAAATACATAATAATTCGTAATTTTAGGAAATTCAGCTACAAAGAGCAGTCCGATAAAGATCTTACCACTAGACTTTAACAAAATAAGAGAGGAAATTCAGGGTAAATATATTAGGAATATGTAATGTTATTATATGTAATAATATTAGTAATGTTAAATTTATATTTTTTACAAAATAATTACAAATTATAATCAAAGTTTAATTAATAATAAATTATTCAGGTGATCTGATAAGTTCTACAGAGTTTGATAATAGTTCTGAGATAGTTTGTAATATGGTACATAGTTTTTTTATCACAAGGCTATTTCCCTTCTGTAGAAGTATTGGATAAATTCCGTCCAGATCTGGCGATTTATATGGTTGAATTTATTGCCCATTTGAGTTTGTCTTGAACTTCTTTTCCTACACGCCAATTTTCGCTAGAGCCACAAGTTCTCCATGCTATCCAGCCTAGTGTGCTTCCATGTCTATAGTGGTTTTAGTTTTCTTTTGATATTAAACTTAATGGTGACATAAACCTTCGCAATATATTATATCTCCTCTTAATGTCTTCTTCTCAATTCTCTGTTGCACTATTCATTTCTTTAGAGTTTTGTGATAATGCCCCACTCAAACTTTTGCCGAAATTAAATTTTCTTCTCTATTATGACTTTGATTTGGGAGGTTGTCATTCCACTGGGAATGATTCAGATTCTTCACTATTTCCAGACAATTGTCTCTGAACATCGACATGATAATGTGACAACCTCTTGAAATTATTCGACAGCCACATTTAGGTCTCACAAAGGCATTAGCATGAAATTTTATAAAAAGTATGTGACTCCCTTTATGAAAAACAAAAGTGAATTTTTTACTTCAAATAATAAATGGTACATAAGTTTTAACATTGCACACCCTAGTCCAGGCAGTCTAAGCAGAAAATAGAAGAATGTTCTTTAGCTTAAAAGAAGGCGAGGGTGTTGCCATAGACTAGACAGATCATGGCATCTGTATCTTAGGATGCAAAAGGAGCATTTTGTTGATTTACTGTCTTGAAAAGGATAAAACTAAATCTGGCAACTTCTGATAAAACTAGGCACCAGAATTCTTGAAAACTGGTCCTGCCTAAAGCAGAAGAAAATCTTTTCCATCAAAACAATGATCCTTCTCATAAAAGTGTTTTGGTCATGGAGAAATTGAGATAATAACAATGTGAAGCGCTAGAACAGTTAAATTATACCTCAGATAACGGAATTTTTCACTATCCGACCAAGAACTTTTCAGATCACGCACTTATATTTTGAAACCTTCAAGGAATTTATCCGACACATTAGAAGAATTTAAAAAATGCATAATATTTAATTGAAAACTGAGAAGATCTAAATGTTTTTTGTCTCTTATAGTAATAATAAGTTATATTTAAGATTTCTTTTGTCAATATGATTAAGTTTAAATATTATCATTTTTAGCAGGAGAACGACAAAGTAAAAAAAGAAAAATAGATGCCCCAAACAGTGCCAAAAGGCTTTTTACTTCAACCTTGCAGAATACAGAGTCACTAGCTAATAAAAGAAGATCTAAATTGTCGATGCCAAGAAAGGTATGTACATAATAATGGATATTCTTTATTTAATATTAAAAAAAGCTTCGAAGTTACTAACCAAATTATTTCGTTTTTATGAAGTTCATAGATACTTTATGTATCATAATCATTAGTAGCATGACAATCTTTTGTGGGTTTTGGCCTGTTCTGAGATGTTCTGCCGTTCCAATCTATTATAGGCATACTCTTCTAGATGGTTATTTTTATGATTTTTAGGTCTTGTTGTACCTGCTCCATATATCTAAGCCTGGATTTTATTTTTGGTATTCTTCCCGTTGGTGCCTGCCTTATGATTTTCTTGAGGGCTAGATCTTCCTGCATCTGTTCCACGTAACTCATCCAGCATAGTCTCTCCATTTTTATTATCTGTCCTGAATATCATACTTTATCTTACATCCAAAACTTTCTAAAAAAAAGAACTTTTCAAACAAAAGTAAATAATAACTGTTTTTCTAGTATTCATTTTGAGAAAAATGCAACTCCATGGGTATGTGTAGATCTTTAACAAGTCTCACATTATTTTTAGTTGCTATCAATAAAATTTATTCTCAAACCACTACAAGCTGGCTTATATGCCGACGATCTAGTAGTCTTTATCAAAGAAACAAGCATAAAATTTGTGTCTTCAATTCTGCACACACTCCTTAAACAATTAGAAATATATTCCCTAAACACTGATTTCCAATTTTCAGTCTCAAAACCATTGGAATAATATTTTCTAAGATAATATTAGCAACTACACCTGAAAAAAAAATATTTAAACCATCATTAAAATTACTAGGTATGTGGTTCGAACAAAAACTTACCTGGAAAGAACACATCAATCACCTCCCTAATTTTTAGGAAAAGACTTAATTTATTTAAAACTCCTTCAAACTGCGTTAGACTCTTGTTAGATCAAAAATCGACTACGGTTCAATTGCCTACTCATCCGCAACCAAAACATTGTTAAAACTACATGATGACACACTTAAAAATGCCCTTAGAATTGCCCTTAGTGCTTTTCGCACCCCTCCAATAAAAAGTGTATGCTGTGAATGCGGAGAACCATCCTTACTACATAAGCGCACACTCCTCACACTTACTCATGCATATTTATTGCAGAAAATAAAAACCACCTCTTATCAATTGCCATCTACAATCACGCGTCATCATCATTCTGGCTTTACAACCCTGCGTGGGTTCTAGCCTCCTCAAGAATTTCTCTCTAGTCGTCCCTATCCATCCATAATATGGTTCCTGGTATACTCAATAAAGTTCAAAGTTGTATCATCCTCTCCACACTCCATTGTCATTCACTGCTCCATAGACTCGCCTTAGTACTTTTCTTTCGAAACATCCTAATATGTTTTCATTATTTTTTGATTTGTGACATACATATTACTTTTTCCAGAGCCAGATTGAACAGTATAAAGGAGAGAGGGTCTCCCTGGCGCAGCCCATTGTTTGTTTTAAAGGGTTCAGACAGTTCCCCTGAATTCGTACTCTACATTCAACTTAGTTAACAGTTAACTGTTGTTCCCAAGTAGATGTACGAATCCAAGTGTTCAATTATTTCATTGTATAATATCAGTTGCTGTGGTGGTTTTTGGGTTTTGCTTACTAACATCCATTTGGTTTTTGTGATATTTAGTCTGAGTCCATATTGTGCACTTGTTTTTTGTATCTTACTCATTAGGCAACTCAGTTCCTCCATGCTACTTGCTAGAATCACAGTGCCATCAGCATACCTTATGTTATTTATAATTTCTCCATTTATCTTTATGCCTTCTGTGCTTTCCTCCAGCGCTGTCTTAAATACTTCTGAGTATATATTAAAGAGAATTGGAGACAAGATACAGCCCTGTCGTACCCCTTTCTTGATCTCAATTTTATTGGTCAATGTAGATCCTACTTTCACTATAGCTGTTTGGCCCCAATAGAGACTCGCTATTATTGTTCGAATGTCTCTGTAGTCGACTCCGATCTTATGGAGAACTTCAATTATCTTTTCGTGCTTTACGTTATCGAATGCTTTTGCGTAGTCTATAAAGCATATGTACACGTCTTTGTTCATATCTCTGCAGCGCTGGATGAGTACCTGTAGACTAAAAAGTGCTTCTCTTGTCCCAAGAGAATTCCGAAACCCAAACTACGAATCTCCAATGTTATCCTCGCATTTTTTGCTTATTCTGTTGTAAATAACCTTGGTGTATGCCTTCGAAATGTGGTTAATTAGACTTATCATCCGATGTTGATCACAAGACTTTGCTTTTGGTTTTTTCGGTATGGCAACAAAAGTTGACTCTAGCCAGTCTTCAGGAAATTCCCCGCTGTTATAAATATTGTTAAAGAGTCTGACGAGTGAGTCTAGAAATTGACTGTTTGTTTCGCACAGCATTTTCAATACTTCCCCGTATACGTTATCGTTGCCTGGTCTTTTGTTATTTTTAAGACCCTTTATAGCATTCTCCACTTCTGATTTTAGAATAGAAGGGCCAGTATCATCATTACTCAGTGTACACCCACTAGGACGATCATCATTAAACAGTTGTTCCACATAAGTTTCCCAGATTCTAACTATTTTGTCGCGGTCTAGTTGTAGATTTCCATTATCATCGCACAGCCCTTTCGATAAAATATTGTAGCTTTTCTTTGTTGTGAGTTCCTTTATCTTCTTATGCATATTGTGATAGTCTAATACCTTTTCGCACTGTTCGATTTCTTCGCATCTCTCCGAGAACCATTTCTCTTTAGTTTTTCTTATCTCAGCTCTTATTCGTCTATGGGTTTCACGGTATTTGGCAGTATCTTTACTTTTATATATCCGTCTCTCTTCCATCATGTCAAGGATTTCTGCAGTCATCCAGTCTTTCTTTTTTCTCTTATCAGGTAGTAAAAACTTAGTGCTTGAAGTCCTAATCTCTTCTTTAATTTCACTTCACTTTTCCATAAAGAATACACAAATAACTATTTTTACTTTTAGGTTACGGTGTAGGGTTCTGTTAAAAATTTATTTTTTCTGCGGAAGGGTCTGCTGAAAAAGTCTGAGAACTGCTGCTTTAAATATACTTATACTGTTTTCTTGTGATATTTTTCTGATATATCTGATTTGTATGAAATGTCTAATAAAGCATTTTGTCCTTTTTCAGAGTAAAGTATTTCAACAACCTTCATCTCCATTATTAAATATGGAAGAAGTCGAAGAAGAAATTTTAACGAATAAAAAATCTTTAAATAAGGTCCCGTTTAAACCTATATTAAAGCAAATCACAGAAGAAATGCATGATAGACGTGGTGGACATAAAATAAAAAATTCGGAAATAGGAATCCCTAAATTTAAAATAGATAAGGGTGAAAATATCTGTAAAAATGTAAACCCCTCAGACGAATGCGAAAGATACCTAATGGAAAATGAATTTAACACATCCGACTCCGAGAAAGAGTTCAATAAATTAGAACGCATGTGCATAGATTCCCCAATTAGTAACATGTGCAACTTAATGCAAGATACGGTAATAGACAGTATTAAAAAACCAAAACTTAATACTAATTATAACTCAAACTTAACAATATGCATTAATAATATAGAAAATATGAAAAGAAACGAAGAATTAAGACACCAACAATCCATCGCTCAATTAAATCACACCATACGAAATGAAGAATTAAGACACCAACAATCCATTGCTCAATTAAATAATGCATTACTAACTCTAAAGTCATTAGTACCAGATGAAAACCATAATAAAGAAAATCAAAACTCGACAGTCAACAGACGTTCCGAAAGGTTGTTAAAAAAGAGCCCACTCAAAAATACAAAGCTCTTAACATCTCCTGCCATATTAAGAAAAGACGATCTCAGAAGAAGTACCTTAAAAAAGAATATGGCTGCTAAAAATCCCGATTGCGAACAAAGTCCTCGAACACAAAAAGGTTTGGCACTCTACAACTTAATGCGATCCAATAGTTTCGTTTTAGAAACACCGAGGTCTGATAGAAAAGGTTCCAATTTGAGTCACAAGATTCAAACTCAATGTCTTCTGTTGCAAGATACTCCAGTGCATCATAAATAATTTTGACCAATTAGTATAATCTCTTAAAAAGTAGAGATAGACGGGTCCTTTGTGACATAAACCAAATAAACTAACATTTCTAGTGATTTTAGAATATGTGGAGTATAATTATTTGTTACAGAAAGTTTTTTAAGGTATTTATATGGTACAAAAAAAAATTCAAAAGTTTAATATTAGAAGGTAGTGTAAAATTTTGACCTTATTTACAGCTGCTCGAATACGGAGCCAGAAATGATTACGCCCTCTTGCGAGGCATCTGTTTTCCTTCAATAATCAATTGAAGTAAACCATATCTCTCATTATTTCTTATAATATATCAAAAGTACTTTAATTTCCGTTTTTTTTTATTTTAATGATTTTGTTAGTTCTATGTATGACGTTTCTCACTTCATCAAGTTTAAGTTGTTCTTTCCTCGACTGTATCGTTTCTGACGTTCATCTTTAACCCTTTCAGGCTAAATTAAGTTTTATCAACGAAAACAAAATTATCATTGCTTAATTGTAGCTAATTTTTTGCCTAGTGAGCTCAGAAATACCATTTTTTGCTAAATTTTGAGCCAAGTGCCATTCGAATGGACAACATGTCTAAATAAATCAAAAGCTCAGAAAAACCAATTTTCTAACTTACAATTATTTTTACTGCAAAACAGATTACTTTTTCCCTTACATCCCGTGTTTTTATAGCGTGTAGCTTCTTTGTAATGATCGTATTTAGGATAGTGATCGAATAAATCGGTTTGAATTTCACTATTCTCATCAAGTTCTTCTGGGTGTTCTTATATTATTATTATTGGGGGATGGTCTTCCACGAGATTTGTCCATAGTAAAATAGTATCCATTTCTTCTATTTGATGTAAATTCGGTAGTACGATAAAGTGGGTATTAAATTTCATAGTAAGACAAAAGCTAGTGCATTTTGTCCACCCCACCCATTCCTGTTTTATGACCTCTGGATTTTCATTGTGATAAATCTTTTTCTAACATTATCCCACATTTTGACTTTATTAAAGTTCAAGAAATCTTTTTGTAACAGTTTCATGAAATGACCATACTTAAAACAATTTATCAGGTTTCTGGTCTCTAAATTGTTTACGGCACGTAAATTGCTGCGCAGTTGGAAACACCTACTTCGTGACATGGTTATAAAAACTAGGTTAATTTCCTAGTACATTATTAGCCTAGGTAAACCTATACAACCCAACAAATTTGTAGGCAACAATCAATCTCTAGGCAATCACCATTACTTTTCTGAGAAATAAAAGATGCATTAGTTTATGTCCGTTATAATGGACAAGGAACCTGAAAGGGTTAAAGAAGTATAAACACAAATATGTGTATATACACTAGGAATTGTCGGTTAGACATCCAACTTCCTTACACTTGTAGAGACCTGCCACAACTGTAACTTTTTTTATGTATCTTGAACATATCACCTTTTCCTCTAATGTTTTAATTTCTTAGTTTTCCTTTTCTTTGGTGTCATTATTTATTTACTTTGTTTACTCGTTTCCTTCATAATTAGAAGTTCTTCTGTCATCTATACTTTCTTCTTTGTTCCTTTTGGTTATAGATATTGCTCTAATACAGCTTCATTTACTTCATATACTATTTTAAGTTCTTCCATAGTACCTGCTTTCTCGTCACTATTATATGTTTTTTGAATTTTTCCTCCCTCCATCTTAGTCTTGGTCTACCTCAACTCCTATTTCCTACTGGTGTCGCTACTAGGTTTCGTCTGGGTTGGTAACTTTCACTTGATCTCGACACATGTCGAGCCCATCGATGCCTACTGATTTTTATGAAAGATATTACATCTTTAACATTAACTATTTTTTTAGCCATGTCAATCAGGTGATAAACTATCCGTAACATGGCATTTCGAGTCTTCAGTCGAATGTGGTAGACTGTCCATAGGATCAACACCACCCGTAAGATATCTTTGATTATCTGTGGACAGTCCAAGTCAATGTTCTTTTTTTCAGTTACAACAAACTGCTTTGTTTGATTGTACATAAGTGGAAGCTAGACGTACATTTTTTGTACCTTTCCAAAGCACAGTACTTAGTTCAATGCCATCGGCCATCCATACTCGAAAGTCTATCCTCTTTTTTCTTTGGACAGTTGCTTATCTGTATCAGCTGGTAATTTCCAGTTACTAATTCGATTGGCTCGAATAGTTTCCAAGGAATAAATACCCCATGCGCAAAAATACACTTGCAGTGGTAACGAAGTGTAAAAGTTATGCTGCAGTAAGATGAGGATCTCCTGGCAGGATGACGTTATCACCAGCATCCTATTTAAATTTTAAATATGTATGAATCAAATTTCAAATCCGTACGAATCACGTATGACAAATAATTTTATTCCTTATTGGTTTATTAGGAATGTATTGGCTTAAAGGGTGTTGCATTTTTGTGTTCTACCTCTGGTAATGGTGAATGATGCTGTATTTTACTCATTTTTACGGTAATTGTGTTGGAATAACTGTAGTAGTTTTAGCAGGATATTTTCGCAATGAAATTTGTGCAATAGTCTCAGCAGAGTACAATGTTGATGGCATGGCTGCACTAGTCATAATAGAGGATGTTTATGGAAAAGATTTTTCATCAATACTGCTATAATTCAGTGGTAATTAGCATTTATAAAGTCATCCGTGGAATTTGCTGCATCTATTTCTTTCAGAAAATTAGATACAGCAGAGAAATTCGTCATATCTGGGTTGTAACGAGTCTTCAGGACGAAAATCGGGATTTCTGACGCTATCATCACTATCAAAATCACCATCAGGGCCAGATGAATAATCATTTTCTACTGTATCTAATATTTGAAATACTTCTTCATCAGTCATTTTAGAAAGATCATATACTTTTCGACCACTTTATTTACACGATCCATATTTACGGTAAAATAAGTCAGGTGATAATGATCTACAAAAACAAATTAAAAAATAATTTTGTTTCAAAAAATACGTTACAAAAAAAACTTGAAGTAAACCGTTATGATCTTTTCTAGAAGGTCATCAATTGTAATAGGTACTAAAAATTTTAGTAGCTTATTTATTTTTCTAAAACCAATAATATATTCCAAAAATAGATATTATGATGTACTTACAGTAAATTTTTCAGCAAGTATAGACATTATGAACCGCTTTTTCACTTACATGGAAATTCTCTTCAGATTACAATAATTTATAAAATCAACTGCTTGTACCTGCTGGGACGGCAAGGAATTTTCAAATGCTTCTTAATGTACACCTGTAAGGTCATTTAAAATGAAACAAAACCATATGAATTATAGGTATTGACAATTCTGGATTTAAGTGGAAAAAAGTGAGTACCGTCTACATACGGTCATAACGGTTAAAGGGTTAAGCTTACATGGTTCATCTAGATGGAAGCTATATTATAACCTAGTTTGACTATAGACTAACACTTAAGTTACCCATTTAATCATTTATTCACTATAGTTTATATCATCCATCAATTTTATAATTTATTTATCATATAAGTTGACGGTTACAATCAAGATTACTTCTTTCTGACCACACTGCAAGCTGAACTATACTATTAAACACTTGAATTTGATTTTAAAACAGAATAGTACTCTGTATCATCCCTTTCACCTCTATTCTCACCAAATGTTTATTTTATGTAACTTAGTATATAAAACAACAGTATTCTTAGTGGTTTTTGGTTCTTGTGAGATCTGTTCGATAATGAATTTTGGTCTAGATGAATTTTGAAAGTGGACGTTGTACTTTGACCCTTTGTAAAAGGATGTATAAATCAATGCCTACTAGAGAGGCCAGCAAGAATTAGATATATTTTTTATTTATAATTAATTGTTTGTTTATAAACTATTTGATATTTGATTTACATGTTAGATGCATGAATTGCTCATTAAAAAATATCATAATTTAAGGTTCTTAAAAAATATTTCGAACCAAGTTGAATATATCCATAAATATATAATACAAGATAGACTGATCTTTGCAATACCAATCCTTTCCCCCAGAACGACAGAAAAGTGACGCAAAGCAGTCCCTGCATCTCTATCTAATTTGCCAGGTATATCGACCACGTGATCTAAATGACCAATGAGAAGGTCATGTGGTCGATAAATTCGGTCCACTAGACAGAGATGCAGGGGCTGCTTTGCGTCAGTTTTCTCTGTTGCACCGTTGGAACGCCACTGTATTACAGCAGCCAGTCTATCTTGTGTTATATGTCTATGAATATATTAGGTTGTTCAAAAGTTTTGAGGTTCGATAAGAAAAACAATTTTATGATTTGAGATACACTTTATTATTCAGTATAGTCTCACTGAACATCAATACACTTGTTCCAACGAGATTCCAATTTATGAATGCCAACCTTGCAGTGAGAATCTGGAAGGGCTGCAAAATAATCTTACACGGCAGCTACGATCTCATCATTTGATGAAAAATGCTTAACACGCATTGTCAAAATGCCCAAATGATTCGATGGAATGACCTCATGAAAAAGGATTTTTTCATTCTGCAAACCTGGTCTTTTTTACGAATTTTTACCTTTAGCTGGTCTAAAAGGTTTCGATAATATTCAGAATGTGTTGTTTCACCAGTTTGCAAGTAATCCACAAACAAAATTCCTTTTACATCACACAAACTAATGATTACCTTCTTGACCGATTTCTAGACAACTCGTCTCCGAGCCGAAGAACCAGGTTCACACCACTCTTTAGCTTCTTGTTTTGATTCAGAGAGAAAATTACAGTACGACTTTGATAGCCTAAGTATATCTAAAATAAATATGTATTGAGATATTATAAAAAAGTATATGGCAATTTTTGTGTCTACCTTAGGAAATAAAGTTTGATTTAAATTATTTGTAGAATTCTTAATCATTTAATGACAACTTAAATTATTTTTGTTTTGCCTAGGAGGATTTTCTGTAATAAATAATATTACTTTAATTTTATACATTCATTACAAATGTTTAAAACCTGCTAAGATTTTTATTGTCTACATGTATATCTTTATCTATATCTAGATGTATGTATTTCTATTTATGTTTAATATATATTATTAATTATTATTCTGCTTTTTATTGAAGTTTTTAATGATAACCCATAGGTAAGAGGGTCATAATGAACAATGTGAGTTTGTTAAATTCTGTAAAGTATTAACCATTATAGATTAACCCGCTAAAGGGTGAATTTTTATTTATGGTGAGAAATTTAGGAAAGTTAGATTTTCCACTTACGACGAGTTTTAATGCACGTGTGGCTGCTAATCC